AGAGTGTGAGTGTGAGTGAATGTGACTGTGAGTGAGTCTGAGTGAGAGCGAGTCTCATCTTATCTTATCGAGTCATATCTTATCTTACCTTTATTACCCTCTATCTTATCTTATCTTGAAATCTCATATCTTGTCTTAGCTTACCTTATATCAACTCATCTTATCGCATCATATCTTGTCTTATCTTATTACTCCATAGGCTGTCCCATCTTATATATTATCCTACCTTGTCATATATCTTATCTTACCTTATCATATCTTGTGCTATATTATCTTATCTTGTAGTATATTATATTGTCTTGTCTTATCTGGTGATTATCATTGGGAGGAGGGAGGCGCGAGCGGGAGGAAGGAGGAAGGAGTCCGCGCGTGGGAGGCGTCAGAGTAATAACAAGAACCCCAATCCTTAGGATATGGGGAAAAAGAAACTTGCATTTTCGCCAGCCCAAAAGGCTCCTGAAAAGGCTCAAAGACGGCGTCCGGGCGATCCACGAAGGCCCCAGAAACCATAGCAGCGGCCCAGGAAAGCGGCAGTACGGTCCCAAGAGGGCTCCAAAACGGGGCAAGAGGGCTCCCAAAGGCTGTCCGGACGGCCCTCGCGGGGGACGATTCGTTCCAATCCGCACAAGATCGCCGCCGGACGGCCCCATGGGCGTCCAAGACGTTAGCATACGCGACCACGAGGCGCTCCAAGCAGGCCTCCAGAAGCAAAACCTTCCCATTTTCTAGGGGCAACGTGCATGTTCAGCATATTCGCTTCTTGGGCTTCCACGAGGCCCACAAAGGCCTAGTAAACCTCCAAGATCGACCTCTGGCACCCCACGAGACTGTCCAAAAGGCTCCACGACGGCCTCCAGGCGCCCCACGAGGGCCCCAAAAACCATAGCAACGGCCCAGGGGAACGGCAGGACGGTCCTAAGAGGGCTCCAGAACGTGTCTAGAGGGGCCCACAGGCTGTCCGGACAGGCCATGCGTGGGACGATTGCTGCCGCCCCAAGGGGTCGGCGGTGTGGCGTAAGCCGATGAATCAGACTCCCCAAAAATCTGATCAACCTCCTTTTGTTGTGAAGACTGGGGTAACCTTGGACAACCGCTCTTCTTTACTACGCGCGTTGACTCTACCCGTTCCTTCCGTCATGATGCCCAGTTCGATCGTTCCAAGAAAATGGATCGGCCTCCCGAGAGGCCCCGTAAGGGGCTTCTCGGAAGGCAGGGGGCGGGGCCATCTCGGAGGGCGCTGGAGCCTAATATGACGAAAGATCTCCCCCCCACCACAAACACACACTCACACTCACACACACACATAACCATAAGGGGATCGGGGGGAGAAGGACAAGCTATGGTAGGACGCGAATTAAGAGGGGGGCGATGAAAATGGGGGGGGGTAAGACAAGTGCCCTTCTCGGGTTCTAAAGGCCCCATTTGCGGTCCTCAAGGGCCCCTTTTCTGCAGCCGTCGCTGCCCCCCCTTGTATCGCCCCACACCATTACGCAATCTCCGATATGGGTATGGCTGCGAATTGTCGGACCTCGGGGGGGGCTCCCGCTCGCGCGGGCAATTCCATCCAACAACTCGCGCCCATAGCTTTATCCAGCCCCCCTGTGGTTATAAGTGCGTGTTGCTCGTTGGGGCCCTCCCAACTGGGGCCCGAGCACATGGGGTCGGAGGACCGCGCCGCATCACCGATGCATCGGCAGGCATGCAGGGCATCGGGCCCCACATCGAGCCGCATCGCCGATGCACATCCCAATGCGGCACGATCGTTCGACTTATCCGATCGGGCCCCATCCCCCATCCAGGGGGCCTGGATTCTGAGAAGGTTGCTTGGGAGCTGGGCGGGAATCCGGGAACCAAACACCCCTGCCTTCTTAGAAGCTCTTCCGCCTTTTTACAGCCTCGCGACACCCCCTTGTGCGCGCCGCCAAGCTGGTGTCGCCGCCGCGGCCGTCCGCCCAGCCCTCGTCGCCGGGATCCATGGGAAGACAGCGACACGGGGGGACCGGCTCAGGACGGGACGCTTCGAGCTGGAATCGGCGGTACGTCGCCGATCGATCGGCGACAGACCTTTCGAGGCCAGCGAATCCGCGCGCTCCTGGGCGGGGGCCGGCTATCGGACTCCCGTCGGTGATCATTGGGCGAAGGGGGTCGATGCGCCCCCCCCCCCTTGAGCAGCGACCTGAGCAGCGACCGGCCGTCCGGACCAGAGTATTCCTGTACGCCTACCATCACAGCCTCATGAAACAAGCAAATGTCACAATACAGAAACAATGTTCTTCGAACGTGCAGCCGACGCGCTGAAACAAAACAGCCTCAGCCAAACAGGGTTCCGATAACATTTCGCGCAAGCCAACAAACAGTGATTGGAACATTCTTCGGCGTGCCTATAGGCGAGCCACTGCTTGACTCCTGAACCCCCCCACAGACGTTGCCCGTGCAGCCTGCGGCCAGGGCCACCGCCCCAACCGTCCGCCTCGGGCCAGCGCGGCCTCGAGCCAGATCTGCAGCAGGCGGGGATGTGGGAAACGGAGGAAAGGGGATATGAAGGACTGGGTTTCAAACGGAGAGGGGGAGCAGGGTAGAGGGCGAGAAGGGGGGGAGGTGGGAAGCTGGGGAATACTGAGCATGGATGGGGACAGGGCAGAGAAAACCAAGGACGAGGAGGACGAGGACGAAAACACAGGGAGCAGGGGGAACGGCTGGAGGACGGCGGGCGGAAGGCGCCCCGCGCGACAACATCGAGCTACAGAGGATCGGTTACGCTCCAGCGGCGACGAGCATTGCGCGCAGTCCCCTTCCCCAGCCGCGGCCACGGCGCCGACGTTAACGGCAACGACAACATGCCGGGGAGCGTCGGCTACGAGGGGTCAGCGGGGTGGGGGGGACCACTGCCACAGGTACGACGGGCGAAAGAGGGAGGATAGGGAAGGTCCTTCTCCTCGTCATCCTTGTCGTTCCCCTTCTTACCTTCTTTCTCCTTCCCCTTCATCCCTCTCCTCGTCCTCCTTCTCCTTCCTTTTTCCCCCTTCCTCCTCCTCCTCCTCCTCCTCCTCCTCCTGCTCCTCCTCCTCCTCCTCCTGCTCTCCCTCCTCCTTCTCCTCCTCCTCCACCACCTACTCCTCCTCTTCGTCCTCATCCTCCTCCTCCTCCTCTTACTCCTCGTCCTCCTCCTCCCCCTGGTCGTCCTCCTCCTCCTCCTCCTCCTCCTCTTCCTCCTCCTCCTCCTCCTCCTCCGCCTCCTCCTCCTCCTTCTCTTCCTCCTCCTCCTCCTCCTCCTCCTCCTCCTCCTCCTCCTCCTCCTCCTCCTCCTCCCCCCTCCTCCCCCCTCCCCCCCCCGCCCTCCCCCTCCCGTTTACTCATATTCTGCAAGAGTTGCAAGAACGAGCGTACGGGCAAGCAGTGGTGGAACATGGCGCACGCGAAGAAGTGTGTGCTGTGCGGCTTGGCGAAAGGAGTCACGTTCGGCGGGGATGTTCAGCCGCTGGAGCCTTCATTCCGTGCCAAGCCACCTGAGGCCCCTTGGAGGATACAGGCTCAGCAGGCTGACGCCGCTGGGCAAAGCAAGATTCGGGAGCTGGGAGCGCGGATCCGGGTGTTGCAGGCAGAGGTCAGAAGGAGCGCTCCACAGACTGGGGACGCCATGCTGGTCGATGACGGAAAGGACGACGAAGCGGACATGCGCAAAGGGCTCAAGGAGATTGAGGAGCAGCTGGCGTTCGTGTCCAAGTACAGCTGGGACTCGAAGGCGAGTGCGTATGTGGGAACTTTGCGGGAGGAGAAAGAGCGGCTGCATGCCAAGTTGAAGGAGTCGCGTCCCATGTATGCCAAGTTGCAGACGATGTCGAATCGGCTCAAGTCGGCGGAGCAAAGGGCTGATGCGTCTCGCGAACTCGTGGCGGCAAGACAGCAGCAGCTTAAGGAGGTCCAAGAGAGCCTGGTGCTGGCCCAGCAGGACCTCGAGGAGCAGGAGAAGGAAATAGTTGCTCACAGTGCGCAGGTGCAGGAGCTCACCAAGCGGGCCCCGCTTGCTCCGGAGGAGGCCGCGTTGCAGGAGAAGGGCAAGGGCATGCGTGTCGATGTGGACGCCTTGGACAAGATGCTTGAGTCGCTGGGGCATGCAGCCGAGCAAGCTGGCGGCCTGGCGCAGGCTTTGTCGGCCAGCATGGGCCAGATACTGGCGGAGAAGGTCCCCCTGGAAGAGGCGGAGCGGGCTGTTGGCGCGGTCGAGCGCCCTCCCGCGCAAGAGATGGCCGCCGGCGCAGGCTCGGGCGTTGCCGCTGACGGGGGCGGCGCTGCAGGAGAGCTCGGCGTGGAGGGCCTTCCGCCCGCTGAGTCGCCCAAGCCGCTGGCCGCCATCATCGCCGATGCCAAGGAGGAGGAGCTTAGGGCGTCTCTCGAGGCGTTGTACCCCGCGGACCTCGCTGAGCACATACCCAAGGACTTGGAAGGCCTTAGGGTTGCTGCTGGTCGTGTGGTTCAGATGCCTCTTTTCAATCAAGGTCGACAGCGACTCGCAGTCGTGCAGGCACCCTATTGAGATGCCGAGGAATGGGGTTCCACTTTTTCATCCGCAGCATGATGGCGCTGTGCGGCGCCCTGCGTATGATGGGCGCACTGGTGTCGATGATAGCGCTGCAAGGGTCGCACATGGCCTTGACTGCGTCGACGACGCTGGGTTCGATTAGGACGAGTTCTTTGGCACCCAGAAGGGCTACGGCACGTGTTTGTCTACTGCTACTACGAGGTCGGTGGCTTCGCCTGGCGCTGCGGTCGGCGATACAGGCATTGGCGGCTCAGGGGCTGCTTATTCTCCTCCAAACCTTGAGCTGAACGCAGCTTCTGAACAAACAAAAGTGTCAGGACGCGGCAGGGGCACAGTGGGGGCCCCTGTTCGTAATATTATTGTCGACAAACGAGTTCCTGGTGCGGCTCGAGGATCGACTGACTGCACTGATGTTTCAAATATTAGGCGGCTGGTGTGTCTGGTGCTATTCTTAATAGGCAGAGCGGGATGAACTGCAACGTTGCACATCACGCCGCCAGCGTACAGGTGGAGTGCGAGGAACGGCCCAAGTATGACCTCCAGTTGTTGGGTAACATCACCTCTGTCAACGTGGGGGGGCCTGGGCCTTTCAAGATATGCATGGAGACGTGCAGGCCCAAGGTTTGTGTGGTGCAGGAGCATCGTACGTTTGCGCAGCATCTACCTGCTCTGCAGGCGCACGTTCGTGACCTTGGGTATCATGGATTCTCTGGGGGGGCAGTGCAGACAGGGGCGGGCGGCAAGTCAGGTGGGGTGGTCATCTTGGCCCCCGCGCATATAGTGGTCAAGGCCCCGCCCGCACTTCCTGATCATGTAATTGAGCCAGGTCGTGTCGCTGCAGCTGGTGTATCTTGGATTGTGCCAGGTGGAGTTGTTATCGTTGCCGTATATCTTGTCAGGAGAAGGTAGGAGTGGGGCCAACGGCGCACTCCACGTCAAGACGGCTCGATATCTTTCGGTGGTGAATGCATTGGGACGTGACTGGATTGTGATGGGCGGCTGGAACCTTACCCCAGAGTTGCTTTTTCTTCCGGTTGGCTGGAGGGAGTTCGGGGCTTCGTAGCGGCGCCATCGAGACCACTTGCCTTCTGGCAAAGCCTGGCAGCGTGTATGACTACACCATTGTGTGCGCAAATTTGGGAACTCGGATTCGCAGGCCCTACGTTGTGGACGACAGCAACACGAAGATGCATCTACCTGTGGCGCTTCCCAAACTAGCGGAGGACAGGCCTGCTTGGGTACGTCGGGTCGTGGGTCCAATCCCCTTTCCCAAGGTGCCGCCGATCGGATGCGAGAGGTTCCCTTATGACTGGAGGGATGTGGGGAGACAGGTTTTTTCATGCCCAGTCCGAGGATGACCTGAGTCTGGTTTGGGATGCGTTATTGGCTGGCATCGAATTTGAGTTGCAGGGCGTCTATGACTGCGTGGACGGGTCAAAGGCTGCATCGACGTCAGGACGCGGGGGTACTCTGGCCACCCAAGTGGTTCAGTCCAGATGGCGACCTCCATTGGCAAGCATGCAACATGGACCTGAGCTACGTGCCTGGATGGCGGCTCTTCGCTGGATTGTTCAGTGTCGGAGGGTCAAGGAGCATGTCACGAAGCTGGTTGGGCAAATTTTGATCTTGCAGAGTGAAAGCAGGATCGTGAACGGTCGGGCTGATTGTTCTGCGCTGGCTAAAGTGCTGGTGGAATACATGAGGTTTATGCGTGGCGTTCGTGGGTGCGAAAGCACGCTCAGGTTGCTTCCTGCATGGGTGTCGGAGCTCTTCATGACCACTCCTGTGTTTTCGATTCACATGTGCGGAGTTTGAGCAGGTCTATGCCCATATCGAGAAGGAGCATGATAGGTTGCTTGATGCTCATCAGAAGGTCGACCGCTCGCGTTGGAAAAGGTTCGTCGACCCTGCCTTTGAGAGGGGAACAAGTGGTGCGCATCGATTCACTCGGTTGCAGGCGACACAGGAGATCCTCGATACTGGTTCTGAGCAGGCCCCTCACGAGCTAGCTGATCGCGAGATGGGCAAGTGGAGAAAGTGTGGTCAGTTCACGATGATAGTGGCATCCATTTGCCGTCTGATTGTGGTGAATGGGAAGCGTTACCGCACATCACCACGGACATGATGATAGAGGCCATCTTGGCGTTCAAGTGGGAGACGCCAGCATGACCTTCGAGGATCCAGCCTAGATCGCTGTGCTTCCTGCCAAAGCAAGGGGTGGACGCGATGGCTTCGTTCTTTATGAAGTGCGAGCGCCTACTTGCATGGCCAGTGGGACGCATCCATTCGGAGATGGCTCGTATTCCACAAGATGGTGGAGGCACTCGACTGGTGGCGCTGATCCACACTATTGTGAGATTGTGGGCCAGAGTACGGCGTCCCCTGTCACGGCAGTGGCTGAAGAAGTCCCCATCGGAGATGGCATGGGGAAACAGGCAGGGTTATTCGTCATCGGGCTCTGCGTTTCTCCACAATGCCATGGCTGAAATGTCTGAACCTCTCGGGGAACATTCGATTGCGGTTATGATGGACATGTGGAAGTGTTGTGCCACGGTAAAGGTACCCAGTCTATTCCGTGAAGCGCGTGAAGTTGGATTCCCGTTGCGCTTGCTGAGGCAGCTGGTCACCTCATATAAGATGCCGAGGGCGGTCAAGGCGTTTGGCTCGATCTCTTACATGCGCGCGGTGGAGCAGGGGATTCTTCCTGGCTGCACCCGCGCGACTACTCTGCTCACAGTGCCCATGATTCCCACGCTGATCAGTGTACAGGAAAGTTGTCCTACTGTGCACCCTCGGGCATTGGTTGATGATTGTACCTGGCAATGGGTTGGCCAGGACCTGAATTTGATGACCGAGCTGATCAAGGCCACCAGGACCTTTAAGAGTGGCATGCGAAGCCTGGGATTTCTTGTTCAACCTGCGAAGTCAGGCTACGCGGGCAAAACTCGCGCAGCGATCAG